AAAAACAACATTCTTCTGTTTTAAAGTACAATTTTATACCTAATTTGCATTTCTGGCTTACGAGCGTTTTGCTAGAGTGTCCAGCTCAACTTTTGGAATTCTTGGATTCTCTAATGATGTAATACAGAAAGTAGACCGCTCCCCGACTTTCGTAATCTATGTAAGTACCAGCTTGGTACCATTATATCAATAATCTACCTTCCCTTATCCAAAAAAAAGAAAGAAGTCCCCCAAGGCCTTTGATCAGTATTAGTGATAAGGGTATAAGGGGATGTGTGGGTAGGGTGAGTTTGAACCCTGCTGCTGCTGATGGAAGCTTGGTATTTAAGTGGAGGGAAAATAAAGGGGTGGGACCATACTCACCTGATAAAGAAAAGAAGAGGGTGGGGCCATACTCTGCTGAGTTTCGAACTTGTGGGTCGATTGGAGTTGGGCCATCTAATACATGGTATTTCTTAGTTATTAAAAAAAAGATAGAGAGAAAATGAGCTGGTCGTTACTCTCTGTGAGGGTTTCTTTTTTTTGAACTCACGCTTGGACAATGTTTAATACTCTCTTGTATTCTTAATGATTACTGTTGTTGCATTCTATGCTCATTGTATTTATGGGTTCTAGCCTTGAAATATCAGTAAGGCGACTCATGATGACTGTGTTGCAAAGAGCTAACTGGAGTAGCCTTTGAGCTTGGTGCAGCTAATGTTGATGCATTCTGGAGGAAGCTTACTTTGTAACTTGAGTTTTATTCAGTATTTGCATATTACTTTTATTATTGTTGCTGCTGCTCTTATTTTAAGTTGATACCTTTGGTTTTGTTCTGTTCTCACTTAGAATTCTTTGAAGATTTGCTTCTATAGGATGGATTTATGCATGGCATGCAAAGGAACACACCTCCTAGACATGTTATTTTCTGATCTTTACTTTCTACCTGTTTTTAATAGGTCTATGGATTCTATGATGAATGCCAAAGGAAGTATGGAAATGCAAATGCTTGGCGGTATTGCACTGACGTATTTGACTATCTGACTCTCTCGGCAATTATAGATGGAACAGTATGTTCTGGTACTCTTGATAAGATAATAATTGCTTGGCCATATCTTTTATATATTAATCCGCCTGTGTTCCATTTCAGGTACTATGTGTCCATGGTGGCCTTTCTCCGGATGTTAGGACTATTGATCAGGTAGCTGACTTGAATGTTGAGGTGTTTTGTTTTTTAACTGTAACAAGTTTCAGATTGTTCAAGTGTATTGATGTGATATATCTTGACTTAGGCGATGAAATCGATATGTGGGATCATAAAGAACTAACATTGCTTCTTGGTTATCCACTGAGTTTTGAATCTAGAAACAATGGATTTTATCGGTTAACCAAAAAACAAACAATCAAGGAACTGATATAGCTTCTTTTTGTTTATGACATGCAGATCAGGGTCATTGAACGTAATTGTGAAATTCCGCATGAAGGGCCTTTTTGTGATCTTATGTGGAGCGATCCTGAAGAGATTGAAACATGGGCAGTAAGTCCTCGAGGAGCAGGTTGGCTGTTTGGATCCAGGGTTACCACTGAGGTAAGTGGGTTAAAGATGTTTGATATCGCTATATATCCTTTTCTAACAACGTTCTCATGCCATGCTTGCAGTTTAATCACATCAATAAGTTGGATCTAGTTTGTCGGGCACACCAACTTGTCCAGGAAGGTTTGAAGTACATGTTCCAGGACAAAGGACTCGTTACTGTGAGTACTGAGTAATAACTTTTTTATGGCATGTTGAACATACATTCCTTTAAACATGTAGTAAGTATATATTTAATGTGACACCGTTTCCTTTGTATATGAAGGTTTGGTCTGCTCCCAACTACTGTTATCGCTGTGGAAATGTTGCTTCAATATTGAGCTTCAATGAGAATATGGTACTTTTGCTCTTTTCCAATGCTTATTCAACTTCTAGTTAGCCTTTCTGAAATAAAGGGATTACCTAGTAATGCCCTTTCTGTTTGATTGTGTATTCTGCCGATCGTTGTACTTCAAAGTGATGAGTACCAATTTTTTAAAAATTGATCTTGCAATTCATGATTCAACATGGTATGTGTTACGTTAGGTTAAATTGAAGTTTGCCTATTGTAATTGGATCATAGAAGGGTGTTCATCTCTAGGAGTTCATTATTAACTTTGTTTCTTATCAGAAAATTATTGATGGAAATGTGTCAAAGGAATGCTGAAATACTTAAATCAAAATTGAGATCCTCTTAAATTCTTAATGATCTAGGAAGTATCACGTTCCAGTATGAAGGGTTGGAAATGTGATGCGAGATACTGATGCTGACTGTTCCTTCTGTAAAGCTCCTTGTGGAGCTGCTTTGTTTCTCTCTCTTGGTGAATCATATTAGAATTAGAAGATTTTGATAAGATTTGTTTACAACTATACACTAGAAACAGGAATAGACGAATCAACTGGACTTGTGCTTGTGTGGACTACTGGACTTCATAGAAGAGTTGGTGGTTCATTCTCAATGGGACTGAATGAGGATAGAAATAAATTTTCATGTACTAAGCATGGAGTGGAATTGCATAGTTGTACTGGCTTAGCTATGTGGTAAGGAAGATGGAGAGAACATGGAACGTTTTAGGCAGTTTCTCTTTAGAGCATTCTCCACTGGCAGTTGTTCTATGATCTGAACTCCAGCTTTTGGAACGTGTAGTGTTAGCATTGCATATCTTTAATATCTATTTTTTATTTGTTTATTTATGTTTTCATTTCCCTCATCTTTCCTGACAACATTTTCTATATATGGAATTTTTGCTGTCAGTTGCTGTGTTTCATAGAATTTTTCTTATTCTTATTTTTGTTCTTTTATCAGGAGAGAGAGGTGAAGTTCTTCACTGAAACTGAAGAAAACAATCAGATGCGAGGACCCAGGACAGGAGTACCTTATTTCTTATGAGTGCGTTCTTGCCTTCTTGATTGATATTATTTCTGCACTCTGTGCTGTCCCTTGTTAGAGGGAAATTGAAGTGGAAACTATCTACTTGGCGGGAACCAGATTGCTGTGTGGCTTGCTTCTCTCGTAAGATGGCGATACATACCTAGCTTGTTGGGCTGATCCTGCTTTCGAATAGTTTGTGCTATGTATTCACAATGGCCTTTTAATGTTTGTTCCCATCTGTTCCATAATTATTCTTACCTGTGTCATAGTTTGAACTCTACCTCAAATCAGATTACGAGATGTTAGATTTCTTCTTGCAATGCTAGAGTACACTTCCCTTGAAAAATGGGTCCGTTTACTTTCAAAAGCGCAGTATTAGAAGTTGGTACACTCCGAAATTGGCATTTGTTTTGCCTCCCAGAAGGGGACTTTAGTGTTGTCTTCAAATTAGTTCAACTCCTTTCAGCTTAACTGTACCAAAATCCCAGTAATCGTTGTTTGTGCAGCAATTTTTCACCATTGTTTAACATCGTAATTACTGTTGATCTTCACTATTCAGTTTTCGAATGCTCCTTCTTTCCACCATTCACGGAAGCAAGAAGAACGGAAGAAACTTCTCGTTTCATTAATTGAATCACCATAGCAGGTCGTCCTTTGTTGGCTTTGAAGTTCTATACTCTTGTAGGATGATTGGTTCACATGAGTCATGCACATATATGTAATAATACATGAATGAGTTGCTTAATAACGAAAAATGTACTGATTATAATATATGAATTACTACTTCATAACAAAAAGACTGACGAAATTATATGTGGTAATTAATACTAATGACGAAGGAAAGGTTGTTCATGAAGCCCATAGCCATTTCAAACTTGTGATTCCTAGCTCTGAAAAAAAAATCAGATCTAGCTAATGCATGAATGTAATACTGTGTGTCAGTATTTGTTAGAGAGAGTATTCAAAAGAGTGATATTATTTGTTCAATAGAAATTGAGGAAGTTGCAAAAATAAAGATAGTTTGAGCTCTAATTATCAATCATAGATAGTTAGTTAATTATCAAACATACTTAATTTTAAGAAACTTGCAATACAATGTTCCCATTCCCTTTGCATCAATTTGCTCTTTATCCGAATCCAATACACAAGGAATAAATTGATACATTAATATAAAGAGAATCGATGCAACTCCAAGTGAACAAATACAAAACTAATTAAAAAAAAAAAACCTAAACTCTCTCTTAATTAGCTATTTCGGATAAATATGTTTGCTCTTTACGTAATTTCTCTAATTTTTTGCCAAAGAAATTGTCCAAAGGAGGTGCACGTGGCACCTTCAGGAAAAAAAAGAAGTAGGATTTTGATTATTTGGCAAATATTTTTAGCAAATATCCCAAATTTCCAAATAGTAGTTTTTTTTAGTATTTGGGCCAAATTTCATTATTTGGGATCTTTTAAAAATTGAAATTTTACACCAAACTTTTATCTTTTACAAAAACACCCTCTATAGTAGTTGTTTGCATTGAATTACATAATTTTTTATATGAACACCAAAGTAGTGATGAAATATTCAATAAATATAAAAGTGATGATATGGTGTTGATGAAAATGATGAACAATCGGCTCAAGGTAATAAAATCATGTATTTTGTCTACTTCACGATATATGGAATGATGCTTGTTGCACTCACTCCAAACTACCACATTGCTCCAGTGTCATGGATACTACTTGTTATTTGTTGTAACGAAAATTCAATTGACTTGTAATACAAACTTATGGTTAGTTTTGATAGTTTTTAAAACTTATGGATATAATCATATTTTTCTAAAAAAGTGAAATATGTTTTTCAAATATTATGGTCAAACACATGGTGAAATTTCACCCAAATAATATTTGTCAAGAATATTTGGAAATTTATGGCCAAATGCTAGCTAAGAAACTTGCAATGCAATGTTTCCATTCCCTTCGCATCAATTTGCTCTTTATCCGAATCCAATACACAAGGAATAAATTGATACATTAATATAAAGAGAATCGATGCAACTCCAAGTGAACAAATACAAAATTAATAAAAAAAAAACCTAAACACTCTCTCTCTTAACTAGCTATTTCGGATAAATATGTTTGCTCTTTACGTAATTTCTCTAATTTTTTACCAAAGAAATTGTCCAAAGGAGGTACACGTGGCACCTTCAGGAAAAAAAAGAGTAGGATTTTGATTTGAATTTTTCATATTTCTTTTACCTTCCCCAAATCCATTATTCCTTCCCTTCACAGTCTGTAGAAAAGATTTTAAGTAGGAATTGTCACCCTTTCCGCTTCTAATTTGGCAAATTGGATAAAGGTTAGTGATTGCCTTGTTTGTGCCGTAGTCGTAGTCTCTCCAGCGGCAGTACAGACGGCCAACTGACACCACTCTCTCCAGCGAAATCGAGGTGAAGGTACATTTTTTGAATTCATTACTAATTATTAACTGAAATTAATATATCAAAATTAAGGTTGTGACTGGTCTACTAATTTAGTTCTCATCAATGTATGCATTTCTTTCATGATTATTTGTTGAATATTGATTCAAAATGTAGTAAGTGATTCATATTTAGTTGAACATACTTCATGTTTGTCATGAGAAGTCCTAGATGAGTCAAAACATATGCTTATTATTAGTGTGCTAATTAGCTTAGTGGAGAAAAAATGTTCACAGAAAAATTCTCTAATCAATGCCCAAACGAAGAGGAAGAGCTTGCAAACAGAGTAAAAAAATCTCGGAGAATGCTAATCAGGAGAAGCATCAAGTGGAAAAGGAAGATGATATTTTATCCAAGGAGGAAGGTATTATTTTCTTGTGAATTTTGTTCAACTTAGCATGTGATTAAATATTATGTCAGTTTATCTCTGAGCTATGCCAAAAAGTAAAAAAGTTTATAAAAAAAGAGTATCATGTATCTTAGAAACAAATTATGCTGAAAGCAGAAAAAATATACTCACTCTGTCCAATAATACTTGTTCACTATTGACTTTGCACACTTTTTAAATAAACTATAAATAAAAGTGTAATTTTACTATATCACCCTTTGAATATAATAAATACAATGTCTTGAAAAATGAAATAGGGAAATGACTGTAAGTATTGATAAGGATAAATTAGGAACTAAGTGTAAAATTATCCATTGATTTCATAAAGTGGACATTAACTTTTAGATTAGCTTGGTTACCTAATTATTGTTTAATTTAACATGGTTTTTAGCTTACTGCCCCGTACATGCTATATCTCTCAAAATGTTTCATTATTGTTCCATTTTTTTGATGCTATTTCTCAAAATGTTTCACTATTGTTCCATTTTTTTTATGCAATATCTCTCAAAATGTTGAACAAAGTACCATCTATCTTTTTTATCCCAGAGGATGCATTAACCTTGTTTACCGTACAGATGGCTGGTCCATTAAGAATTGGCTATTCTATTGGATGTTCTTCTATGTCTGGCCAGCATGATAAATGACTAATGAACTGCTATGAAGGCACTTTTGGTCTAGTTCTTTGCTATATCTTTTCTGTCCCTATTTTTTGGATTTTCATTAATTCAGCGTGATTTAATCTCCGAGATTATCTAAGACAACTCAATTATTCTCCCATTCTTTTTCCAGTTGAATGTCAAAGTGCTGCAGTGAGGGCCATTTATAATTTGGAGATCAAAGACATACCATCTCTCATGCGCTTGCTTCGGTCGAAATTCAATGACGAACAGCTGCATATTCCGGTAGTGCAATATTTTAGGGAAAACCTTCCAAACCTGGCTGTTGTTAGGAACGAGGATGACACTCATGAAGTGAAAAGAAAAGAGGCTGATGGTAATTTAAGCACGGACCAATTTAATGGAAGAAATCTACATGTTTCTCTTCTACGACAGCTGTCCATGGCTTACCCTGATTGCTCCAATGCAATACCATCATTTGGTGAATTTGAATCTTCAAGCAAATCTGGTATCTTTAAGTCTCTCCTCTGGCATACTTTTCTGAAAATTCAAGGTGCTGAAGTTTATTTTCTCTGACTTGCTTTACCTAAATGTTGACAGTGAAAACAACTCTATTTGGTGCTGAAAACATGCAAATCAAGCAATTCGTATGTAATGCTGTTCATTTACTATTTGCAACAATTTTAGTGGTCAATTGTTATGCCATTGATCTTGCAATACCATATTTCAAGTTGCTTTGGTTGCGTACACACACTTCCATTTGATTGATAATTTCTAGCTTTTAACTTGTGGAAGTAAGAAAACTAGTTGGTACATCTGAAACCTCTTTTTAATGATTTTTTTAATCTCAATTTTTTGGTGGAGGTGAGGGGTGGTTAAAGTCATTTGTGGCCTTTGCACTGGCTTATCTCCTGGCTTTTGTAGAGCTTAAGTTGTGGATCTTCCTAATTTTTCTTTGATTGATCAGCTGGTGTATCCTTCTGACATGTGATATATTTTTATGCTTTCGTTCTTGTTCTTTTTTCAATAAACATGGTATTCGGGCCAACTTGTATGCATCTCAACTAGTTCCACGGGTACTTTCTACCTCCTACCAACATAGGTAACATGTAACTCTGTCCATCAGAGCTTGTACAGATGGGTAGAAATCACCTAGTGTTTTTGCTTCGCTGTGATTGAACTTGTGTCCTCATGGTTATCAACCTATTTCATTAACCACCAGGTCACAATCACACCCTTGAGTGCTTTTAATGCTTTCTTTCCTTCTTATTCGTTGTTTGTCATTTTGCTTTTGTAGGTTTTAGAGGACCCATCTGACACTCAGATGTTTGAGCTGCAGGATACTCTACAGACTCCTGATGTATGTAGCTTCAATTTACTTTTGCTCAGTTCACATAGTTAATAACCTTTTTGCTGTATCTTTTTTTTTTTTGTATTTATGGCTGAATGTGTCATTCAGTACCTTCTAAAAGGCATTTGAATAGAATCGTTTATGTAACATGTATACCCAGAAGCATGAAGCATTTTATTTGTTTTTGTTTTTCCTGCACCCGGAGTGGGTAGTAATTTAGATATGCCATCAGACTTCACTAGCATGTAGTTTTACGGGAACAATATTAACTGTTAAGGCTGCTGTTCATGTAGGGTGCTTTCCATGAGAAAAATGTCTGCAAACCTCATAATGAAACCAAGTTGTTGAAATTTCGACTAGTATATGTGCCATCATCCATATTCTTACTATTTTGTAATTACAGGTGAATAACAACCCGTTATCTGTTGGGATGACACCCAAAACTCTAAGGTTTCCTAAGACTGGAGAAGTGCTTCTATCGGTGCATGGCTCTCCTCTTGGCGTTTTCAAGGAGGACGACACGGAACCAATACATGGTATGGTTCTCGTTTTACTTGATTTTTGAAGTATGGAACTAATTCGAGCGGTGAAAGACATATTTCTCTTATCTTTATCAAATTCCTTCCTGCAACATTTTGATTTCACATAGTATTGTATCTGTGTTTCTTATATGGGCTTATTTTGTGCTACAGAGTCAGAAGATGCATGAATGACCTGCAGGCAGGAATTTATTAGATTGGGGTAGAAGATATAGTTCCTCATTGTAATATTTTGCAACTCATTTGAAGGTACATTGACCTTTTCTCTTAGTTTAACTTGGAGGAGTGTTGTAGAAAGCCATTTGCATATTGATTTCTTGGCCTCTGATCTTTATCTTTTCCGTTTTAAATTTTAGTCAAATAAATTTTTTACTCCTTTTCCATTCACTTTTTACTTGTCACAACTATATGGACTTTCACCAACATTTTAAGATGTTTTTTTTGGTTATATTAATATGAGAATCTCGAGAAAGATTACGTAGTATTTTTCGTACCATTTTTAAACGTCAAAATTTAAAATATTAAATTAATCTAATTTAATTTAACTTTAAAATTAGTTAAATTGTAATGCCCCTCAACAATTATTATGATTTAGGAGAGATACTCCCTTCCTTTATTTTTGTTTATCCAATATACAAAAAATAAATGTATTTAATTTTATTTATTCAATTTGGAAAATAAATTTTAAAAAAACCTATTTTACTCTCATTACTAAATACTATATATTTTTAATGCGCTTTTTAGAACATTAAATTTATTATATTTAAAAAAATTATAGTAAATTTATTGTTTTAATATTTTTTTTTATAAAAGATATGTCAAGTCAAACATGGACTAATAAAAACGGCAGGAGGAAGTAAATGATAATTTAGTCAACTACTACTAACAATTGCTATTAATGTAATAAAAATGGTGGGAGGAAGTAAATGATAATTTTGTCAACTACTACTAACAATTACTATTAGTATTATTAAATGATTTTTCCAATTATGATGCTAAAACCTTAGGAGATACTTAAAATGAGTCTTGAGTATGTATTATTAATGTTAGTAAGTATTTTTCTTTTAATTGTCCAATTTGAATTATGCATACTTCTTAAAAAATATTATTTGAGATGTATATTGTATCATAATATTTATATTAATTGATATTTAGTCTTAAATTTAAAAATAAATTATTAGTACTAAGAATAAACTATTAAAAATAATTTATTTTTCTCTTGATATAGCAAAAGTGATTGGAGCAATATAATAAAAAAATAAAGTGACCGGAGGGAGTATAGTATTAAAATATGAAGGTTGACTTTTTTTTGTTTAAGTGGAAAGTGTACATTTAATTCCAAGATTGAGAAAAGATAGTAAGTTCCTAAAAAACTACTTTCATGTACTTAATTAATATTTTCCTTCTTGCCCCGCTAACTAATTAATTTATACATATTGCCCCACAAACTATTACTTTTTCCGTAAGACCCCCTCATCTTTTGTTTTGTCTCATCACCCATTCACTCTCTCATTTTAGGCGTAATTCAAATACTACCCCCAATTCTAGGGTTTCTTTCACTTCTCAGTCCCGTCTTCCTTCCTTCTCAATTTCCGTCTTCCTTCTCCTAAATTACAGGTTCAGGTAAGTTTATGGTGCTCTGTTTACTCTCTTTTATCGCTTTAATTGTATACATATCTGCAGTAAATTTGCAAATTTTTTTTGTTTTTGTTTTGCTGTCTTACATTGTCGGAAGATTCTGCTTGAAGGTAACCAACTTGCTGGGGGTGAATTCTGCTTTTGAATTGTTTGCGTTATGTATTTGTATGGATGAAGTTTTAGTCTTTTCCTGTTTTTATACAAACTAGGCATACTAGGAGTAGTATTTTTATTAGCTGAATGATGAATACAGTGTTCATCATTTTCAATCTTCCAACTAGTTAAAAGGAAAATGAAAAAGTATAAAATTGTGATTGAATTGCACTTCTTTTGAGTCGGACACAGCCTCTCTACCCCCACAAAGGTAGAGACAAGGTCTGCCGTCTGTGTACATCCTACCCTCCCCAGACCCACTTGTGGGATTACACGGGGTATGTTGTTGCTTTTCCTTTAAGTTCTATATTGCAACAAGTGATATTTAAGGAGTTTAGATTCTCTATTTACATATACAACAAAAAAGAAAAAGAGAGTAAATGTTCTAAGATTTTGTCTACTCACAATAATTTTGTAAGCTTGCCCTTTTTTCGAAACTAATATCATCCCTCTAGAGGAGCTAAAATATTTAAAGCAGACATACCTTCCACTATTCATTAGTCATGCTTATGTTGGTGAACAAGATTTAAACTTTGTTAATTAGGTGACTCCTCTAAACGCTTCTGTGCAGTTATGTGAGAATCATATTTCTCTAGATACGGAGTAAAGGAGATATCGGAAGAATGTAAGATTATGATTTTGCGATACTGTTTTTATTAGAATGACATTAAAGTTCCTCTTGATACTAAACATCCTTAGAATTGAGAATCATCATAATACCTTAGATAAAAATAATCAGAATATCCTAGAATACCTCAGTTCGCTGATTGAGTCACTCAAGGTTTCCACCAAATTTGTTTGGCAGTTAAGTACTTATTAGGGACCTGTTTGGCCATAAAAATTATTCACTTTTTTCCGGGATAATTTTTCACTTTATTTGAACTTCAGTATCATAATCGTTGATAACATCACTATGCCCATCACTAATATGAAACCATATGTGAGATTTTCACCTCATACGGCTCTTTAGAGATCACAAATTAACCTATGGGCCCTTTCCTATCTTGATATGTTTGTCAAAAAGTGTCAAATTCTATCCTAAGGTCCCAAATTAGACCAATGGAATTCTGTCTGCTATTACGGCTCCTCAGAGGTCACAAATAAATCTAAGGGCCCTTTCCTATTCTTTATCTTGATATGTTTGTCAGATAGAGTAAAAATCTATCCTAAGGTCCCAAATTAGACCAATGGAATTCTGTCTGCTATATGTAAAACTAATAAATAAGTGCTTATGAGTTATGAATGATATCATCTTTTAAGAATTTTAATTTAGCTTTGTTGATTAATAACTTTATCATTAAATAAAATCAATAATATGCACTTTATAGCAATATCACATATACATTTCAACCTCGAATTTTCAATTACTAAAAAATTGGAGAGTCCATTAGTTCATGAATCACGATAATTTTTTTTATCTCTCTAAATAGAAATCAAAATTTTTCGCCAGTGTTTGCATTAAACAAGCCGACATTCTCTCTTCCGCTTCATCCACCATCGCTCATGCGGAGGCTTCTCTCTAAGGTGGAATGCTCCCCTACTGAAGTATTTTTACATCCCACAGTTTCGGCAGATCGCTTAGCCCCGTTCATCTTCGGTGCAAGAGCGCTCGATGGCCATGAAAATCCCAAATGAAGTTGTATTTCAAATTCGGGGAACATCTTCTCACCTGTTTCCAACTCACTTTTCACTTTTCACTTTTGAAGTTGTATTTAAGTACATTCAAGTATGAACATTTTTTCAAATATTTTTTGCAAAAAGTATTACCAAACACAACTATATCGTCACTCCAGTTTCATAAATTCCAAACAAAGTGAAAAATATTTGGAATCTATGACCAAATGCCTACTAAGAGTTTCTTTTGGCTTTTAAGTGGTCAGTTAGTAGGTGATCGAGCACTGTCTAGTTCCCTTTTTAGTATGGTTATTATTACTTTTCTACTATCTTATATTTTTTCTTAGTTTTAGTATTACCTGTTATTTCCTTTGCTTTGGTTTTCATATTATTTGTTGCTTCCATTTGTTCTCTTTTAATTGTTTTCAGCATGACTTCTTCGCTATTGCGTTTGCTTTACATACTTGTTTTTTGATACTTGAGCTGAGGGTCTATCGGAAGCAACCTCTCTATCATCACAAGGTAGGGGTAGGTTGCGAATACACCACCCTCCCCTCCCCGGACCCCACTTGTGGGATTACACTGGGTATGTTGTTGTTGTCATTTGGATAAATAGATGATTAGCAATATGTCTGCACCCTTAATTAAGTTGGATGCATGCAAATTCAAATGAGTTGAGTTCCTCGTATGAGTGCTGATGCATCATATTCTCTAGAATCATCCTTCTTACATGGCATCTCACACGATGAACAAAATAAGATAACTTTACTGGAGGAACATTGACACTGGTCATTTTTAAGTTTTTCTTTTCTTGACTTTTTTCCTGTTGGCCTTTGAAGATTTATGACATGGTGAAGGGAAAGCTTATTTTAATTTGTCAGTCTGGTGGTGAATTTGTGAATGATGTCGATGGGAACTTGTCATATAAAGGAGGAGAGGCAAATGCTGTCAATATAAACCAAGATACTCCATATGATGATCTCAAGATAAAATTGGCAGAGCTGTGTAATCTGGAGCTTACGACAGTGTCAATTAAGTATTTTCTTCCAAAAAATAGGAAAACTCTCATTAATTTAAGGAGTGAAAAGGACTTCAAGAGAATGGTTGAGTTTCATGCTAATTCTGTTACAGCTGAGATTTTTGTCAGCGGGAAGGAAGGTTTTGATCACGATGCATTGAAAACGTACACTGAGAGGTATTAACACTACCATGTTTTAATTATACATATACATTAGTTTTGCTTATTGATAAATGTGGTTTGGTGACACGGGCCTGTTGCCAGCCACTCTATATTACTGCTAAAGAAAATTGTTTAGTCAATGGCACATCACTGGTAGTGTAGTATATATGTAATTGACGTTCCACTTTGTATCTCAATCAACTGCACTTGCAGGACAATTGGCTTAAAACTGGCTGAGAACGTAAATCATCATGGCACACCTGCAGGTGCTACTGATTCTGGTGGTCTGAGCACAACACCTTCTAAGGTTACCCTGCTAAGGCCTGTTCGAACAGCTGCTGTCTCTCCTATAGCTATTCAAAGCGATTGTCTGATCGATGTACATATCAGCTGCCAAGAACCTGCTATTAATATGGCAGCTGAAAGCCTCAGTCAAGCCACTACTTCGTCAAACCCTTCTTCTGGCCATGTTGCTGAGGATGATTCTGACTATGCTCCACGTTCACGTGCTGCTGTTAGTAGTACTGCCCAGAGCCCAATTAGCTTTGACTACGATGCTACCCCTGCTGATACCGTGAAGAAGCGCAGGCGCACTGCTTCCTGGAAAATTGGTGCCAATGGTCCAACCATTGTTGTGACTGATAATGATTCTAAGGAGAAGTCGCGAAAGAAGAAGAGTCGAAGTTCAACTGGCGTAATGGTGGGAAATGACATGGTGGAGGATGAAGATGGTGTTGAATTACCTGATAATTTTGACAGTTCCTCTCCAATTACTTTGCGTGATGAAGATCTGCCAGA